ATCATTGAAATCCTGGTATCTCCGTCTGAGAGTGAGAGAGTATTGAAGACGCTGTTCTCCACGCTGTGAGAAGTCATCTGCATCTCTTTATCGTCTGAGTGCTGATTCAACATAACAGTGGAAGGATTGACTATTGGGTGAGTGCTGGCCTTATTGCACTGAGAGTGAGAGTGGATATGCAGTGCCTGAATTGAAGTGTCACACCGTATTGGACTTGACGTGAGGTTGCAGTGTGTGGGTGGATATGTATATTTAACTGCCAGTATTTCCCAGTGCATGATTCCGCCCAGTGTTTGCTGAACAAAGCCTCAGTGCTAGACGTGCATGTCCCGCTCGGGCTATAAGTTCTCGTTCTGATACCGAAGAGGAGTGTGTTTGCCTTGTATAAATCGCTCTGCCTGTTTAACAAGACGAATTGTCGGCTGCTATCTTCTTGGGCGCTTCCCGTCTGAAGGAAGGAACCACCCATGTCCCAGCGCTGTCCGCTTGGAGCCACACAGTCCAGCCGTAAGCCCGATTCTCCGTTCTGCAGAGGAGCGTGCCTGTACCTGTATAAATTGCTCTGTCCGTTTAACTAGGTGATTCGTCTGCTGCTGTCTTCTTGGGCGCTGCCCGTCTGAAGGAAGGATCCACCCCTGTCCCAGCGCTGTCCGCTTGGAGCCACACAGTCCAGCCGTAAGCCCGATTCTCCGTTCTGCAGAGGAGCGTGCCTGTACCTGTATAAATTGCTCTGTCCGTTTAACTAGATGATTCGTCTGCTGCTGTCTTCTTGGGCGCTGCCCGTCTGAAGGAAGGATCCACCCTTGTCCCAGCGCTGTCCGCTTGGAGCCACACAGTCCAGCCGTAAGCCCGATTCTCCATTCTGCCGAGGAGCGTGCCTGCACCTGTATAAATTGCTCTGTCCGTTTAACTAGATGATTCGTCTGCTGCTGTCTTCTTGGGCGCTGCCCGTCTGAAGGAAGGATCCACCCTTGTCCCAGCGCTGTCCGCTTGGAGCCACACAGTCCAGCCGTAAGCCCGATTCTCCATTCTGCCGAGGAGCGTGCCTGCACCTGTATAAATTGCTCTGTCCGTTTAACTAGATGATTCGTCTGCTGCTGTCTTCTTGGGCGCTGCCCGTCTGAAGGAAGGATCCACCCTTGTCCCAGCGCTGTCCGCTTGGAGCCACACAGTCCAGCCGTAAGCTCGACTCTGCAGCGGAGCGTGCCTGCACCTGTATAAATTGCTCTGTCCGTTTAACTAGATGATTCGTCTGCCGCTGTCTTCTTGGGCGCTGCCCGTCTGAAGGAAGGATTCACCCTTGTCCCAGCGCTGTCCGCTTGGAGCCACACAGTCCAGCCGTAAGCTCGATTCTGCAGCGGAGTGTGCCTGCACCTGTATAATTTGCTCTGTCTGTTCAACTGCATGATTCTTCTGTGCTGAGCATATTCGGAACGACCGACGGTCTAGGAACACACCGACCTATCTACCCACCTGTCTTCCAGTGAGGCCCCTCCGTCTGCTCGCCTTCTTGAGAGGTTTACGTACCTGCTACTCACCTGTCCGGTGGAGGAGTCTCCTAGTCCTCAGTTTCGGTCCTGCCCTGCCCGGGTATCAGTCCGTCTGCACAGTGTTTAAGAAGTTCTACTTACCCCGACTCTTACCTGCTGCTGGAACGGCAGACGAATCCCTCGCCTCCCAGGGTCCAAAGCGGTTTCCCCCTTCCTGGACAGAGACACAGACTCACGTCAAGACTTTTAATTTCCTTTTTACTATTCAATAAAGATTGTTCATTTTTAATTCTACTTGTCTGTCTGGTCTTTGGTACGCTCCTCAGAGTGGTCCTGGGTGTGAGGGGTGGGTGCAGTCTGGTTTGGCCCCCCCGACCTGTGACATAAGTGTCACAAGGTGACAAATCAAGCGGAACCAATTTCCGCAAGGAGTGTGTCCCCCCCCCCCCACACACACACAGCAAGGAGTGTGTCCCCTCCCCCCCCCGGGACGATTTCACTGACACACCGTGCTGGTTTGCTTGTTGTCAGTTGCCATGACAGTGGCAGCTGATTAGCTAAGCGGTACCAGGTGCGGGCGTTTGGTGTGGGGATTTGTGATTGGGAAACACGGCCTAGAGAAGCAGTTAAAAGGAAAAGGAAAAGGCATTCGGGTGTGGTACTCCCCCGGGAGTGAGGATCTGACTGGAAAGGGGTGCAACGGTGATTGTGGGAGTACAAGCTGGAAAGTGAATTGGATGTGAAGTGAGTGTATTTTGGAGATTGAGTCAAGATTGGAGAATGTCATCACTCGAGAGAGAAAGATAAGTAATGAAACACCGTATCCGTGTGAATGCATGCTGTGTATTGAACTGAATAAGGAATTGTGAAGTGTATTGACCACAAATATAATTACCACCAAGAGTGTGAACTGATTCATCTGTGAAACCCTGATATCTTCTTCTGAGTGTGAAAGAGTGTTGAAGACGCTGTGTTCCATGCGGTGTGAAGTCCTCTGCATCTCTTCAGCTTCTGAGTGTTGATCCAGCGTAACAGTGGAGGGATTGAACAGTGGGTGAGTGCTGGCCTTATTGCACGAAGATTTGAGAGTGGATTGCGGTGCCTGAATTGAAGTGTCACACAGTATTGGACTTGACGTGAAGTTGCAGTGTGTGGATGTACACGTTTACTTAACCGCCAGTACTCGCCAGTTCACGTCCTCGCCCAGTGTTTGCAGAGCAAAGCCCTCAGGTTGAATGTGTATGTTCCATTTCGGCCACCAGGTCCTGTGATATGAGAGAGGAGTGTGATTAGGGGTGGGACGATACAGGTACCTCACGATTCAATTCTGTGGCGATATGTGGTCCACGATATGATAATATCACGATTCGCGATATTTACGATATTCAATATATTGGAAGAAATTTCATCAACGATATATCACGATATATGTGACTGAAAAGAAAAAGAAGGAATAAGGAAATAATCAGGCACAAAAATAATCAGGCACACGAATATACTTTTGTCTATTTTCGCTATTTTGAACTGAAAATAGCCGCAACGTGACTCATGTTAATGTAATAATTAGTTTACTGTCATTGTGAGAGGAAAAGCCGTTTTCATTATGTTAGGCACAAGATTAATAATGCATATGTACATATTGAGAATTAATATACCGTAAAACTTCCCGGGTTTTTATTTTCCCAAATCGTCGAACTGCACCGGCTTGTATTTGAGACAGGCGTCTATATGAGACAGGCCTTTATAATTTAGTGTTGAGATGTTGTTCATTGAGTTTAGGCGAGTCTCTAATCTCTAAAAATCTCCAAATGCTCCACGTGAAACTGCGGTCTTCCGACCTTTTACTATCGTGTCAATTGATCTTGATTAATATGCGCGAGGGAGAGAGCAAGACAGCGCTCGTGTTGTTTGAAGACGTGAGAGTGCGCGCGCGCGGCCGTTGCGCTCTCTCTGCTCGTAAAACCCGAAGTGTCTCCACACTTTAGAGTGGAAACTAGCGGGTGGGTCTTTGATTATTTTTTTATTTTTTTCCGCCATTCATCTCGCTTCTCTTTTTTTCTGCAATTCTCTGTTGTTGTTAGTTAACTTGTGTTCTTCACCGGCCGCTGTTTGCGCCACTTTACCCCTATTTACTCGAACAGCGCCCCCGCAAACAGAATGGTAGATATGGGTAGTGACAGTGACACTGACAACGGGTAAATTAATCATTTTGTGTTGTAATAAAATATCGATATTGGGCGTTAGTGTATCGATTATTTATTGCGACAGAGAGCACAACAATATATTGCAATATCGATTTTTTTTCCCACCCCTAAGTGTGATTGTCCTGTTTAACTTGTCTTGTCTATCTAAATAGAACGTTCCTCTGCCACCGCCTTCGTGTGTGCTGCCTGTTCGGAGGAGAGACACACCCCAGCCTTAGTGTTGCCGTGGGAACCACCCAGCCCAGCCGTAAGCCTGAGTCTCCATTATACGAAAGGATCATTTTTGTTCTTGTATCAAATGCTCCGTCTATTTAAGATTCTCCTGCCACTGCCTTCTTGGGTGCTGCCTGGTCGGAGGAGAGACACATCCCAGCCCTAGTGCCCGTGTGGAGCAACCCAGTCCAGCCGTAAGCCGATTCTCCATTATACGAAAGGATCATGTTCGTTCTTGTATCAAAGGCTTTGTCTATTTAAATAGAAGATTCGTCTGCCTCGGCCTTCTTGTGTGCTGCCTGTTCAGAGGAGAGACACATCCCAGCAGCAACGCTGCTTGTTCAGAACCACCCGCTCTAGCCATAAGTCCTTACTTCACCGAAATAGAATTGAACCTGCAAACTTGTCTCTATCTTGGATTAGAGGGGACCCTTGTCTCTGGCTGGAGCCGTCAAGGGCGGAAAGGCACCCGGAGGACCTCACGCCTGCTGCTCAGTGACGCCACGGAGGAGAGCACCCTACACGGAGGAGATCTGCCTACCCGACTACCTACCTGGCCGGCAGTGAGTCCCCCTCCTAGACTCCATTGCCCCTGTGCCGGTCATCTACCGAATAGCTGACGCTTGGGAAAAACTTACCTGCTACCCACCTGTCCTGTGGAGAGAGTCCCCTCCTGGCCCGTGGCCCCGGCCCTGGTCCGCCCGGGTCGCTGCCCGCCTGTATTACGCCGAAAAGAGTCTACTTACCACGTTACTTACCTGCACGCCGGACGGGCGTTCGACTCCTTCCTCCTCTGTGGCTGCCAGTAACCCGGGCCCTCGCAGTGAACCCCTCGGCCTCCTCCTCCCTGGAAAGAGAGACGAAGCCCGCATTAAGACTTTTAATTCTTGCTTTTATTCAATAAAGATTGTTACTTTTAGATATTCTTCTTGTCTGCCTGGTCTCTGGTACGCTCCTCGAGGTGGTCCTGGGTTTGAGGGGTGGGCGCAGTCTGGCTTGGCCCCCCCGACCTGTGACATAAGTTTTCACTGCATTCATTTATTCTGACCAAAAGGTAGAATAACAAATGTTAGGTTTAAGTTATTTTGATCACATGCTTTGTGTGGGTTTTTGGGTCGGGAACTCAAATGCACCAGTCACTGTGTCGATTACTTCGACTACTGGGGGAAAGGAACCAAAGTCACCGTTTCCTCAGGTAAGATATTGCCGATATTTTCTGTTATTTTATTTCTACTTATTTTGGAAGATCAGGTAGTCTTTCTTTCACAAAACTAACATGCCGACGTATTTACAGATTTTACCTTGGAAAGATGTGTCGGTAACGGTAGATAAATAATGCGCGTAAAACTCTCCGATTAAAGAAAGTGCGAACTAACATATCAAACTAAATCGTTTTGACGTCGGCCTAGACAAAATATTGCATATTAAAATGTATTATTGTGGTTATGGTAAGGCTCTTATCGTGCACCTTCCCGCTGTGACGGTGCCTTTGACTACTGGGGAAAGGGAACAGCGGTGACTGTGACATCAGGTAAGAAGCCAAAGTTTGATTTAAATAGCCTACTAACCAAATTAAATATAATCAGGGATGTAGTGGAGGCTAAACGCACGTAAACGCCGTTTACGCACCTCCCAATATTCGGAAATAGCGTTCCCCTTCAGGGACTACCGCTGCGTGTAATCGCAGTGGGAAGGCCCTCAGCGTGACGCGTCTGAAGCATGAATGAAATCAGTCAATGGAGAGAATGAGCGTACGGCGAGTGACGTCATCGACCAGGAAGCTATAAATATCCCCTGAGTACACAATACGCCAGCTTTAGTTACTTCAGCAGCTCTGTGTGTGTCTGAATCTGTCGATTGTGTTTGTCTGTTTTGTCAGGAGTTTTCACTATATATATTTTATATAAAAAAAAACAATATGAGCGAGCAGTTTATGTGTGGCTTGTTTGGGAGTGCAGCAATGCCCAGTCGGCTCTCGAGGGAGTCGATTGTCAGCATTGCGAGCGTTTTCCCTTGAGAACTCTGCGCTCGCGGCGATCGCTCTTCGAGGAGAGTGATTTGCTGCGAGCTCCCCGAGGCTCGGGTCCTGCTTCTGTTGAGGCAGAGCGGCGGCGCTTGTCTTGGGGCTCGCAGATGGATCTCGCTGGCGACGTTGAGACGGGCTCCGCCCTATCTCAGCTATCTCCGCCGAGATCTAGTGCCTCTCACCCGGCTCTGGAAGCACGCGCTGCGGCGGTTACTTCTGCCCGGGTGGAGGCACATGATGATGTTGAATTGAGATTTTCCAGTTCTGAGGAGCTGGATGTCGAAAGTTTTGCATCAGAGAAAACTAGTTTATCACATTATACTGCAAATGAAGAAGGTTTGATGGATGTGTTATCTCGGGCTGTTGAAAAGCTGATAAAAAAAAAAAACAGTATCGAGTGGCCAGCTGATAGACAGGTTTCTAGAATTAAAAGCAATCTAGATGATAGATTTCTGTCTGCACGACCTCAACCTTCTCGCCGGTGCTTACCGTTCTTCCCAGATCTTCATGCTGAGGTTTCAAAGACCTGGGTTAGACCGGTTTCAAGCTGAATTTACACAAATCAGTCCAATGCTTATGGTAACATTGTTGGTGCTAAATCTGCTGGTTATGTGACGATACTGTAGGCGGAGGAGACGCTCGCGAGCTATCTCTCTCCTGCTTCATCGTCTTCACTTAAAGCACCGGCTCTTCCACCAAAAAATAAATAAATAAATATATATACCTCTGTGCTGGTGGGGAAGGCTTACTCGGTGGCTGGGCAGGCGGCTGCATGTTTGCATACAATAAAAAAATAAAAAATAAAAAGACTTTTATGCAGGCTTTTCAGGCCGACCTGCTCAAAGGAAAATCTGAGGGGGGTCCCCGCCGAGAGAGACTTGCGTTCACCTCCCTTAAGGGTGCCCTGTCTCTCCCGGCGCCCTCAGGGGCCCGTCCTACTAACCCTGCCGAAACAGGGCGTAGAAGGGTCTGGTGAGTGCTTTCCCGAGGGACGCTCGCCGCCTCTAAGGAGGGTTCTAGTGTGTTCAGACCAGTCGTTCCCTGCTGGTGCGCCGTTACAGGGCACTGTGTCTGTCACGCAGAATGTTCAACCAGAGCAAAGTTTTTCGTCGAGTTCGTCTTCCAAAAGAGCACAGCAGAAGCAGAGTGTCACGTCTCGTGCCCCCCTGCAGAGAAACTGGAGGGACGAGGCGGGCGCTCTCCGGCGCGGCCTTCTCGGGGCAGGACTGATCTGAGGACAGTCATTGTCGCCAGAAAGGCCGCGTCGAAAGAGTCCTGACGGGCTGAACGTCAGGACTCTGAGGGTGGTCCCCATCGGGAAAAACTTGAGTTCACTGCACAAAAACACGGTGCCCTGTCTTTCTCGATGCCCTCAGGGGTCTGTTCTACTAACCCTGCCTATACAGGGCGTAGAGAGACTCGGCGAGCAATTTCCCGAGGGACGCTCGCCCCCTCCAAGGAGGGTTGTGGAGTGCTCAGACCAGCTGTTTCCTGCCAGTATGTTACAGGGCGCTGTGTTTGTCACTCGGGATGTTCAAATCAGATCCGAGGACTGGTTTGTCATGATAGATCTAAAGGACGTTTACTTCCATGCATCTATCCTCCCTCAACACAGGAAGTTCCTGAGGTTCGCTTTCGGGGGCGAAGCGTACCAATATCGGGTTCTTCCGTTCGGCCTAGCACTGTCACCCCGAACATTCACGAAGTGTATGGATGCTGCTATAGCCCCACTGAGGTTACAGGGCATCCGCTTTCTGTACTATTTAGACGATTGCTTGATTCTAGCTCAATCGGAACAACAGGCGGTTCGGCACCGAGATGTCGTTCTTGCTCATATCAAGTGACTGGGGCTGAGGCTCAACGCCAAAAAGAGTGTTCTTTCTCCATTTCAGAGAACCACTTTTCTAGGTGTGGTGTGGGATTCAACGACAATGCAGGCACGATTGTCACCTGCTCGTATTGCTTTGATTCTCGCTGCAGTAGATCAGGTCAAGCTAGGCCAGTCATCCACTGTAAAACAGTTCCAGAGACTGTTAGGTCTCATGGCAGCTGCGTCCAACGTGTTACCTCTTGGCCTCTTGCACATGAGACTGTGACAGTGGTGGCTCAGGACCAAGGGATTCTCCCCGAGGGGAAATCCGCTTCGCATGATCGTGAGTTCGCGACGGTGTCATCACGCCCTGATCATGTGGAAAGATCCTTGGTTTCTGTCCCAAGGCCCTGTGTTAGGAGCTCCTTGTCATCGCGTTATGCTAACGACAGATGCTTCTCTCACGGGTTGGGGGGGCGATCATGGATGGTCGCCCGGCTCAGGGTCTGTGGGAGGACCATCATCGTCTGTGGCATATAAACTGCCTAGAGATGTTGGCGGTGTTTCAGGCTCTGAAACACTTCCTCCCAGACCTAAGGGGCCACCATGTTCTTGTCCGGACAGACAACACATCGGTGGTTTCTTATATCAACCATCAGGGGGGTTTGTGTTCTCGCCCGCTTTACAAACTGGCACGTCAGATCCTTCTATGGTCCCAGGGGAAAATTCTTTCTCTGAGAGCTATTTATCTCCCGGGGTATTTAAATCAGGGGGCAGACATCCTGTCAAGACAGGGGCCGAGGCCCGGGGAATGGAGTCTTCACCCCGAGGTGGTGGAACTCCTATGGAAACATTTCGGTCTTGCCAAGGTAGACCTATTTTCTTCTCGAGAAACATCACACTGCCCGCTGTGGTTCTCTCTCAGCCATCCAGCCCCGCTGGGGTTGGATGCAATGGTACATCCGTGGCCGAGGTCACGCTTGTACGCTTTTTCCCCCGATCGCTCTGCTCCCAGGAGTTCTGGAGAGGGTTCGCCGGGACGGGCTCAGTCTCCTGCTAATAGCCCCGTTCTGGTCGGCCCGGGTATGGTTTGCGGACCTAGTGTCTCTCCTCGACGGCTCTCCCCTAGAGAGACCGATCAGGAGAGATCTGCTCTCTCAGGCGAGTGGGTCGATCCTTCACCCCCGTCTAGAGCTATGGAGGCTGTGGGCTTGGCCTCTGAGGGGGCCCAGCTCATAGATTCTGGTCTCTCGGCTGAGGTCGTTGAGACCATCCTCCAATCCAGAGCTCCCTCCACGAGGAAGTTATATGCCGCGAGGTGGAAACTTTTCACCTCTTGGTGTGGAGAGCGCCAGCAGGACCCAGTTAACTGCCCAGTTGGTACAGTGCTGGATTTCCTGCAGGACCGTCTCTCCACAGGGTTATCCCACTCCACACTGAAGGTGTATGTGGCGGCCTTAGCTGCTTACCACACCCCTTCAAGTGGAGGTTCCCTCGGGAAACACCCACTTATGTCTCGCTTTCTTCGTGGCACCTTGAGGCTGAGGCCTGCAGTTCGCACGAGGGTACCAGCTTGGGATCTGGCCATCATCTTAGAAGGTCTCTCCCTTGCTCCTTTCGAGCCCATCGAGGAAGTTTCGGAAAAGTTTCTTACTCTAAGACTATCCTTTTTCTCGCTATCTCATCTTTAAAAAGAATTGGAGATATTCAAGCACTTTCGGTGGCTCCCTCGTGCCTGGAATTTGCTCCTGGTTGGCTAAGGCCTTTCTCTTTCCGAGACCAGGTTATGTTCCTAAGGTTCCAACTGTTTCTGTTAGACCTATAGTTCTGCAGGTTTTCTGTCCTCCGCCTTTTCTGACGTCAGACCAGGAGAAAATTAATTTGCTGTGCCCAGTTTGGGTTTTAGATGCTTACGTCCACAGAGCTGCCCTGTGGAGGAGATTGGAACAACTGTTCGTCTGTTTGGGTCACCTAAGAAAGGGTGTCCTGCATCTAGGCAAAGGATGAGCAAGTGGGTGGTCGAGGCCATCCCACTTGCTTATGGTTCGGCCCATCAGCCTTCACCTTTGGCTGTAAGGGCTCGTTCCACCCGGAGTATGGCTGCTTCTACAGCTCTTCTTTCAGGAGCTTCTCTTCAGGACGTTTGTGATGCGGCAGGCTGGTCCTCACCGCACACTTTCGTTAGATTTTATTCCCTCGATCTTAGCTCCACTCCCGGGGCTCAGGTTCTCTCGTCGGCTTGTGTCTCCTAATGACACACGACGGGGATTTGGTCGTATGGGGATGTGGGTATTGCGTTCCCACTGCGATTACACGCAGCGGTAGTCCCTGAAGGGGAACGTCCCGGGTTACGTATGTA